GTCAGACTTTCCGTTCTGCTTTGCAAACGCGCACAATTAATGCCAATCAGGCGGGGGAGGCAGCCAGCTCGGATCCCGGCTGCTCCCAATCCCGGCTGTCAGCTCTCCCCATCCCGCCTGGTACATTTTCATACAATTGCTACAAACATCTGAGGGAAACTCCGCGTTCTTAGGCAGCGCTGAGTATTGTTCTCTGTTCCTTTTAATTACTCGGCATTCAGCAGCTCATCCGGCCCCGGATCGGTGGGGAAAGTAGGGATTTGTAAAACAAATATAGAAATCTGGAGAGATGCCTTATTTTCCCATTTGGTGGCTGCATTAGGTTGTCTATGGCTAAATAAGAAAAAACTATTTAATTTTTCTTTGTCTTTTTCTTCCCCCCCCCCCCCTCCAATGTTGCTTTCTCCCTCTGGATACACAGTCTGGTCCCTGTCCCTCAGGGAACCCCAAAAGCAGGGTGAGCTTGGGACAAGGGGGGAAAAAGAGCTGGAATTACTTGACCGGATGGTGGTATAATCCTCGTTACAAAAGTACACATCAATTATAAGAATTCCTACAGTAATCTTGGAAATCTATCTTTTCTGCTGAACCAGCTCATTAAAGAGCACCATTCATTTCCATCTCTCCGGGTGAGAAGGGTTTAAATCTCCAGAGCTTTGTATTACCAAATAGACTCAGGGTGATGGACTCGTGTTAAATATTAAAAGGAAGAAGTTGATTTTTATTTTTTTCCCCTTTTTTCCCTTCTTTTCCCCCAGACTGGCAGCCAGATGAAGTATACTGTAAGGAGGGGAGGGTGGGGGCTCCCTACCATGAATGCTTTCCCCAGCTGTCAGTAGGTGACAAGGGGCTACGCTTAGTGGGTGCATCTGAGGACCCCCCTCACCTCCTCTTGCCCAGAGACCCCCACCAGTGTCAAGGGAGAAGGGAGGGAGGTTTCCCCAGGCCACCCTGGCAAGCCCCTGAGCCTGCGCCGGACCCGACTGTGGCACAGGCAGGGCTTTTGTGTGCAGGCAGGGCAGCAGCGGCTGCGGGGTGAGGGACGGGCACAGAGCCCCTTTGTGTACAGCTGCGAGCGGGGCAGCAGTGACAGAGCAGGATGTGGGGATACGGACCTGCCATGGGGATGGGGAGTTGGTACCCAGCCAGGAGGGGAGGGTACCCAGGGATGGGGAGCAGGACCCGGGGATGGGGAGCAGCGGCCGGCCAGGGTCGAGGGCGGCACAGGGCGATGTGTGCACTGCGCCGAGGCTCTGTGCAAACATGCTAATTTGTTTTCTTTCTTGCCTCGCCTTTCAGGGTAATTGGTTGCATTTGAAGCCTTTGTGAAAGCCTTTGATTATAGTAATTTCAGCAGCGCGATCTACCCTGGATTCCTTCGTCAGATTCTTTCACAGCTCAGGCACTCGGGGCTGTAATTATGGAGCAGCACACGCCCGACTGCCACGGCCGGGGCACTGTGGTGCTGCCACTGTGGCCGTGGGGGCACAGGGACCTGTCACTGTGGGGGGCAGTCGAGCCGCTAGGATGGGGCAGGAGGGAGCCAGGATGGGGCAAGAGCTGTAGTGGAGAGCTTTGATCTCTGCTGTGTTGAGTTTGTTGTGTCTCAGCTGGAGATGTAGGTGCTGCAGGTGTCCAAGGTTTGGATGCCCGTGCTGGGGTGGGGTCCAGGGTGCTTTTAATTGCTGCTCTGGAAGTCTTCCTGGAGCTGCTTGGCTTTTCCTTTGGTTTGATCCCATGTCTCTGCTGCGAGAGGCCTTCCTGGAGCAGCTTGGCTTTTCTGATGGTTTGATCCCGTGTCCCTGCTGGGGCTGAGACCAAAAGCCCATGAGTATCTTGACTATCTGTGATGGGATGGTGGGCAGCTCAGTGGGCTCATCTCCCCAGCCCCTCCTCCCCATCCATGTGCAGGATGAAGGCATGACACGATTGTGTCAGATGAGGGAGGTTTTATTTGAGGAGCTGGTACCGCACCAGAGGGGTCACATCCGTACAGGCAGGTCCTGCTCCCGCGCTGCATGCTGGCCCTGCCAGGACCCCGGTACACACAGCCAGGGCTGAGCTCTGCCAAAAACACTGCTGGCGCCGAGTGGGGCCCTGACCTTTGCTAACGGGGCCACTCCCCCCCTCGCTCCTGGCATTTCATTCCCAGTCCCACGTAATGACCTTCTCGGCAGCACCGTGCCAGCGTCTGCCACTTCCAATTACCCACGGCTGCTCAGCGCCCGGTGCAGCGCACGGGGCTCCTTCCTCCCCTCCAGGATGACAGCGGGTTGGGGCATTGTTGCACTGTGATCCCCCACCCTCGTGGCTCGAGCACCCTCTAGGACCCCCCGACGCTGACCAGGGTTCCAAGTCCCTGCCCCGGGGCGCTGGAGGTGCATGGCTTTCCAGAATCATTATTAACCTGTTCGAGAGCTGTTCCCGCTCACAGCGAAAATAGATCTTTAATCTCTGCCCAAAATAGCTCATTTGATGAGAGGCCTCCTTAAAGCTGACACATAAATTTAACCAGGCCGCCCGAGCCCTGTGCGGGGATGTCTGCAAATGCTCAACAGCACTTGAATTGTTGGAGTTTTTTTTTTAATTCCATCATTACAGACACATCTGATACCATATTTCTTCCATCGGGTCATTCGCACTGCTCAGGAGGTGATTTGCTGTGCCCCCTTCCAGTCCCCCTGGCCCTGCTCGTAAGCCAAAGGTTATTTTGGGGTATTTTGGGATGTTGATTTGATTGAGCGGTCTAAGAGATTTCTTCTTGGAGCAGCCACAGGAGCAGAAATCTCATTTCTGAGTGGGATGGGAGAGACTTAGATGCTGCCCTAAGATGCCAGCAGCGAGAGGATGCTCTGTCCAGCTCTGGTGCCACTCTGTCCCTGGCTGTGTGCCATGGCTGGTGGGCTCCATGCCATCCTGGTGTCACATCAGCCCAAAAAAAGCACCGTTCCTCTGGCAGCAAAATGTTAGCTCTGTAAGTAAATGCAGGCTCTGGGGAAGTGGGAAATGGGGATGCTCCGTGTGTCACAGCTCTGTTCAGTGCCAGGTCCCAGGCTCACCCCGGCATCTTCCCAGCATCTCCACAAGGCACGGGCTGGGAGAAGCCACTTGGCTGGTCTGGGTCACTCTCTCAGCCCCCCCCTTCCCCCCAGCCCCCCACTTTCCCACCACCCCAGCGAGACCCTGAGCAGCAAAATAATCACTTCCAGCATCATTATCCATTGCAAACCCCAGCTTCCAATTTTAATCAGAGGAGCTGGTGTTGCTTTAAGATCTGCGGGTTTTAAAGATCACAAGAGGGGTTAGAGAAAATTACCCTTGACTCTTACATGCTAATGTAATCTCTAACCAGATCTGCAGCACTGCAGCTAAAATTGCTTTTTAGATTAACATTTAATTATTAACAGGGCCCCCTGAAAGGCCTGGGGCTGGAGCATGCGGAGGGGAGCGGATTATCCGAGTGGGATGGAGTGGCAGGCGGGCAAAGGAAGGTCGTGGGGTGGCCGGCAGTACCGTCTGTGCCTCGTGGCACCCTCAGTGGCAAACTTTGGGCTTTATTTTACCTAATGCTTGCCATGGTTTATGGTGGAGTGACCTTTCTATGCTTACCCATTGTAGGGCTGAGCTGTGGCATCACTCGCCGAGCGTTGCATCCCTGCCACCCTAAATCTGGATGGGATATTGACATGAGCTGCCAATACCACTGTGGTGCCAGTAGGCAGCACCAGCCAAAATCCTGCTCACCCTGCAATGGGATGGGCACCTGCTGTGTGCAGAGGGGAAGCCTTCCTCCTCTGGTACCTCCTCACCCTTGCAGGGTGCCATTGGGTGGGAAACCAGTGTCTGTGGAGACCAGGGATAGTGGCAGTGGCTGTGCCAGGGCTGCTGGGGGTGTAGCACCAATGTCCCGGTGCTGCTGCACAGGTGACACCAATGTTCCTAGCGTTGCAGGGAATGGGAGCACCCTGGAGGGGCAGTGGGGTTCTCCTCCATCCATGGAGGGATAAGGGACAGGGGTGTCCCTGGTCATGACGAGTAGCCCTGGCACTGCAGTATTTGTTTTACTTGGCACACCAGGGACAGGTGAGGGCTTTTGCTCCTTCTCCCTGCTTACTACCAGCCTTGGCCTGGCTCCCACGCTGTCCGTCTGTCTGTTGGGTGCTGTCGGGAGCCTCCTGTGCCTCTCCCAGCCAGGGTGACCCCATCACCTCCTGTTCTTGTGCCAAACCCAGCACTGACTTTTAATAGCCATGGGGGACTTGGCAGTGGCATGACTCAAACAGCTTTGCAGCGTCCCTGTTCATCCCCTCCTTCCTCTCCTAACCCCCAAAACTCCCCTTTTATGGGATTACACTTCAATAATGCCCAGGGAAGGATGCGGACATGTTGCAGCAGAGCCCGGATGGTGACCAAGACCTTGTCCCTCACCATCCCTGCCCTGTCCGCTGCCCTCCATTGCCCAGCAACTGCACAGACCCACTTCAGGCTGAGACTTCAAAAGTTCCTTTTTTCTTTTCTCCCCCTCCCGTCACATTTTCTTTTATCTAAATCCTCGCCTGCAAAAGCCTCTATCGACAGCTGCGCTGGCCTTATCTCGCCGGAGGGACCTTCACAGGGCTCTCAGAGGAGATAAGCCCGACTTATCAGCCACTGATGTCAGAGGAGGTGCCAAACCCTCCCGTCACTGGGGCTTTAGACATAGAGGGTGGTGGTTTTTATTAAAGTCACGAAGACCTTGGGCTTATAAATAGTGTGATGTCGAGATGGATTAGCTGGGTGTGGGGCGGGAAGGATGGACTTGTGGCTACCCCATCCCTGGAAGTGTTCAAGGCCAGGTTGGAAAGGGCTTGGAGCAACCTGATCTAGTGGAAGGTGTCTCTAGTGGAAGGGAGGGATAGTGGAATGGGATGAAATTTAAGGTCCCTCCCAACACAAACCATTCTGAGATTCTAGATGATGCCAGTTGTGAGCTGTGGGATGCAGGGTTGGGCGTCCTGGTGGGAATGTCTTGCCGTGTACAGCGGTGCTGGCCGGATGGTGGTGGATCCACAGCCTGGGCAGAGGCCGTGCGGATGCGGGGCGTTCCGGCAAAACTGCTGAGTGTTGCCTTTCCTGCCACGAAAGAGCCAGAGCAGCTTGAACTAAATCGGATCCTGCTGATTGGAATTAGTTCAAATGCAGATGGAGCTAACTAAGCCGGCGCTAAGCGTTGGACAGCCCAGTGCCCAATTCCCATCAGCTGATTCAGGGGCTTTTCTGAGCAGCATTAACAAAATGCCACCGTGGCACAGATGCCCATTGTGCCGGGCGCCCACCCTCCCGCCCACAGGCGCTCTGGGAGCTTGGGGCCCCCGGCAGGGTGCCAGGGTGGACAGATGGATGGTGTTGTGGCACCAGAGCCCTCGTGGTTCTGAGTGTGCCTGTGAAGTGCAACGTAGCTGTCGGAAAAATGATCTTCGCCGCGAGACGCCGGGAGACGAGGGCAGAGCTGGGGTCTGAATTAATCGGTGCCTTTATTCGGTTTGGCAGGTGGCTCCTGCATCTCAGTGGTGCTCCCTGGGCAGGGTTGGGATGGCTCCAGGAAGGTGCTGGGCTGTGTATGGCAATGATGGTGACAACTTATGCCGGCGTGGGGGTGTCCCCAGGGACGTGCATTGCTGGGCCCCAGAGTCAAGGGTGCCCTCAGCTGCTGTGACAGGTCACCAGCACCTCCCTGGACCAGGGCTGCATCCGTGCCCACCCTGTGCCTGCACATGGTTTTGGTGACCCCCTGGGTGCTTTCCTCTTGCCTTCCCTGTGCTGGCACATGGATTCAGTGATCCCCTGGGTGCTTTCCTCTTGCCTTCCCTGTGCTGGCACATGGATTCAGTGGTCCCCTGGGTGCTTTCTTCTTGCTCTCAGCTGTTTCCCCCAAGGACCATCAGTTACCTGATCCTCATCCAGCAATGGCACGGGCCGCCCACGGCGCCAGTGTCTACCAGGGACACGGGTCAATGTCCCCATGAGGAGCCGCCTCTCCGCGGGGAGGAGGTGACGTCCGTTGCTAATCGGCCAGATGGTGACACCCGGCGGGACGCCAGCCCTGAGGTCGCTGCAGAGCTGGGGCTCAGGTACAGCAGGAGCCAGTGCCGTCATCCATCCCCCGCATGGCCCTGGGTGCCCTGACCTGCGTCCACCCCGCAGGGACGGGGATGGGGACAGGGATGGGGTCAGGCGGCTCCTGGCACGGAAAATCCAGGCGGTGGGCGCGTGCCGGGGGAGCCGAGGCACCGGGAGCAGGGCTGCGTAATGAACCCCGAGTCCCGGCGGGGAGAGGCGAGCTCCTGGCAGTCAAGTGTGCTCAGCCTCTGAATAAGAAGCACTTCATTCTCTTTTCAAACTGTATAATTTCTGCCTGATTGTAATGGCATATTTTAAAATTACCAGAAATCGAAGCCAGAAAATGGATACGGCTGCTTTTACTGCGAGCTGCGTTAACAAAGGATATGTAATGCATGAAATAAAAACACCTCCCTGCCCCCCTCCTTTTTTTTTTTTAAGACAGTAATAGGAGAAAATTGGTTTTGAAACTGAATAAAAGTCCCTTTCAGAGGAAATCATTTCTTTCAGGGTACCTTTGCTGAAAGTAAAATAGTGAATAATGAAAGGTGGTTACATGATTGTCTTTCATTTAGAGAGCGCGAGGACAGATGGAATCTGGGAGAAATGCACGATTGGAATAATTGCATGGTAACAAGGCGCTTGTTGTGAAATTAGTATCTTAAGAAAGTAGTGAAAAAGGCTTTTACTCATGAATACTTCATTATTAGGAGAAAACAGCACAATTTGGGTTCTCCAGACACCTGCTCGGTATTAGATTACTTCCTCCTCCCCTCCTCCTCCTCACACCTTTTGCCGATGAGTCTCCATGCCACCACTTTGCTGGGGGGGATGGGGTGAGACCCCCAGCCCCATGGGCAGAGCCCAGCCAAAGCACAGACACCCTGCACGGATCCCATTCCGGGGACAATCCCAGGGCCTGGGACCCCCTGCCTGCAGGAGCAAGCGGCGCATCTGCGGGTACCGTCTGTGCCTGTGGTGGCTGTGAAGGGGTTTCAAAGGGTGACATTTAAACCAGTGAAGCACAGAGAGCCCCGGGCGCGGCTCTGGGATCATCCGTCCGTGCTTTGCTTCTTGGCGGTGATGGCCACGGGCTCTGCCAGCGCCTGCCCGAGGCCACCACGTGCCCGAGGCCACCACATCGCTCCCCTGCACGGCAGTGCCAGCACCGCTCGCCAACACTGGGACATGTGGGAAACATCCCGGACGGCTGCAGGAGGTCATGATTCTCCCACAGCAGAGAAGATGGAGTGATGTACCCCGCAGTGACACCCATCCGTGACCTCCAGTTGTGACCCCCGGCAATCCATAAGCGTTCAGCCAGAGAGCAATGGCTCAAGAGCTGTGACACCGTGGATGGGCACCACTGCCTGTTTTCCTGCTGCTCCCGCCCACGTCTCCCTGCCCTCTCCAAGTGGGAATATCTCTTCCCGCACCAGCCGGAGCAGTGGGAGGGTGTCAGCAGCAACTGGTTATAACTCACGGCCTCGCGGCGGCTGGTGAAGGACTTACAATGAGCAGCGCGGTGGCGGCGGTGACTTTGGCCTGACCCCTCCAGCTTTTGTCGAGCAGATTTTGATGCCAGCTGGGAGCTGGCGACAGATCCCAGGACCCAGAGTGGGATGTTAACACTGTCTTTCCCCAGCCTTGGCCAGGGTCACTCTGTGCCGGGAGGTGCTGGCTGGCACGCTGGCAGAGCAGTCTGGCGCTGCTGGAGCGCTGTGCCGGGGGGATGCCCCAGCTCTGCCCCATTCCCGGTGGGAAGGGCAGAAAGCTCTGCAGACAGCACAAATCACCCACTGAGACCTTCATATTTCTTTCATATACATTCCTATTTCTTTCAGGCTTTCAGAGTTGGTTATTTATCTCCTGAGGAGCAAAGGGCACTGAGTGCCGTGGAGGTCCTGCCGCCGGCTCTGCTGGGTGGGCATGAGGGTAGTGGCGGTGGGGTGGGCAAGTCCCCTCCCTCACCCGTGTCTCTTCTCTCTCACAGGGTGCGGGGCGGCAGCACCCGCCAGGAAACCCAGACCATGCTGGCCTGTCTGCAGAGGACCCAGAACCCCCCAGCCCAGCACCTCCCCTGCCCCAACAAGGCGCTGGAGCCGCGCAAGTGTAAGTGCCTGGGGGGGCGGGCACCCGCTTTGATGCTGTTTGCCTTATTGAAAAAGACATTTATTTAACCGATAATTAAAAAGAGCAGGAGAAGCGGGAAGTTGGGGGGGGGTGAGGAAGGAGCCAAGATAAGCAAATTAAATTGGGTTGCTGTGGTTGATAAGTCCAACTTCAGCAAATGTTGCAGAGCTGCCTGGGAAGCGCGGCGGCAGCAGCAGCAGCAGCGGATGGTGCCATCGCCAGCTCCACAACCCCCTAAACCTCCCCGGCCCTTCCCCCCCTAATTACTTTCCCCATTTTGCTGCAGCTCGCCTTCCCCAGGAGCTGGCCTTTCAGATAAGCTGTAAACTAGTTACATTAAAATGGGATCCAAAAGGTCACTCCGGCAAAGCACCTGTCTCTCCCAGCCTTTGTCTCTCAATCCAAACCGTGATTAAATGTATATTTAATGAGCCTGCTTTAGGCAGGCGTGTTTGACCTCCCCGGCTGGGAAAGACGCATTAAGATTCTCAAGTGATGAATGTGTGTTTTAAAGAGGGGAGTGGATATTTTTCTGCTGGTCTCAGTTGGATTTTTAAACATTGCCGGCTGAAGACAAATCAGCTGCTAAAGCTCTGCTTGTTAGGCTGTGACAGCCCCCGGGCGTTTGTTTAATGAGCTGGATTTTCCTGGAGACGTTTTTTTCCCTCTACCTGGGCACCCTGATGCAGCTGACTGAGCCTGGCATGGGTGATGCTTGACCACCCTGGGGACCCCTGGCATCACTCTGGCGTGGTCCTGCCAGACAGGAGGGTTATTTATTCCTGGAAGTTATTTTGTCCCTAGAAGTTATTTTATCTCTGAAAGTTACCCCTGGAAGTGTTCAAGGCCGGGTTGGATAGGACTGGGAGCAACCTGGTCTAGTGAAAGGTGTCCCTGCCCATGTCAGGGAAGTGGAACGGGGTGGTCTTTAAGGTCACTTCCAACCCAAACTGGTCTGGATTCCGTGATTTTTTTGTGTGAAGCTCCCCAGTATCCAGCACAGGGAACAGAATACCCAGTCCAGAGGTGGGATGATGGGCACCCACGTGTCACAGATGAGGAAGCAACCTACACTGCATCAGAGCACGTGGTGCTGCCCAGGTCTCCTCCTTGTTAGCGCCTGGAAGGAAAATGTATGTTGCTCTTGTAAAATTATTCCCAATCCATCATGCCTGAGCATCATGAGACACAGGGCTGGCATGAGGTGTCCAGCTCCTGGAGCACCTCATTGCAAAGGGATAATTAGCTCAGCCATGCCCACAAGGTCCAAGACCCATGGGCAGGATTAGCCTGGCGGGATTTGCTGGAGATTGGAGGTGTTCAGCACAGAGTATGTTGGTGTTGAGCTGGTGTGATGCTGAGGTCAGAATACACCTGCTGGTCCCTGCAGCATTCCCTGGATGCAGCCCAGGGCTGGGGACTATCTCAATTCATGGGATGAGACCCAGGGGCACCCTCCTGCCATGGAGTTGGTGCTCTCCAGCATTTCCCAACCAGCCATGATGCTGAAATAAGGAAGTTTAGGAAGCAGGAGCCCATAGGTGCTGTCACAACACAGCAAGACAGTGCGGGGAGAGCTGCTCTTGGATGCAGCTACATATGTCCTGGGAGAGTCCCAGCCCCAGAGTTCTGGAGGTCCTGGAGCTGCACTGGTGAGATGAGGGCAGATAGCAGAGGTCTGACCCCATAGCGGACCCTGGTAGGCTCAGGGTACTGAGGACACAGTTTTTGACTGGTCTCACCCATCACTGGGGCAGGACTGTGCTCACCCTGTGTCCCCTGGGTGGGCAGCAAGGCCGAGCTCTCCTCCAGACCCCCGTGCCGCGCTCGCTGCTGGCCGCCACCAGCCAGGTCACCTTAATCAAAGTTTAGCTGCCCGTATGTTTCCACTCATTATGGGCCAATCCGGCCCGTCTCGCTGCTCCCTGCCTCCCACCAGCGCAAATTAAATTGCAGGTGACATCCAGGGCCACGCATCTGGCTTGGAATACAATTTTCTCTTCTTTATTTATGGCACCTGCGGTGAGCGCAGCGCGGAGGGGCTGGAGAGCCGGCACGGGGCCGAGCCTCCGGAACGCCCGTGTAGGTAATCGACACAGAGAGCGTTCTCTTAAAACCAGGCGCAATTTAGAAGTGCCTCTGATTACTTAATTTGCTCCTGAGTATCTCAGTAATTATCTTTATGGGTCTTATTTCTGTCCTCTGGCATTGTTTCTGTCGATATTAAATGAGTCTGGCTCTCGGCACATTGGCCGTCTGGCCCGGCACCACTGTGAAATCCTATTATCCTGCCCGCGCCGCTGATTAATTTTGGTATTAATTTCACGTAAAAGGTGAGCTGACTAATTTTCCTGCCCATGCAGGGAGCTCCCAGCCCAGTGTCTTCGCCCCCCAGTTCTGCCCCTTGCCTCTCCTGCTAATTGTCATCCCCCCATCTCTGTGCCCCCTGCACCAGTGCAGCTGCATCCCAGTGGGCTCAGAGCATCCCACGAAATCCATCCTGGTAAAGATGGAGGTGACTTTGCTGCCATGCTCACCATTGCCAGCCAGTATTCCCAGGGCTGTTCCACAGGCACTAGCCCAGCATTCTGGCATTATATCCTCGAGGAGGATGCAAGAGGGTGCCAGAGCCCTCCCAGCCCTGCCTGTGCCTCCCGCCTCCAGCCAAGGAGCAGGAGCCTGTGGAGAAGCAGCATCCTCAGGAAAATATCACGTCCAATTAACTGCAGCAGCCTGGTCCCTTTTGATTTTATTCTGGGCGCATTACAGGAATCCTGAACTTTATTTAAATTATAAATCAAATAATACCCCTCTCAGATTGACCAAACTCTTTGCTGCTCCTGTTCTCGGCAGTAATAGAGCAGTGGCTGGTATTTAATTAAATGTTACTTTCCATGTGCCCTACTCCAGCCAGCCTGGGGCTGGATGTGTGGAAGAGGGCAGGATGTATTGCCCCCTAAGGGGCTGGGATCCATAAAGAGCTGGGAGTCATGGTGAGCTCACAGAGCTCCCTCCATGCTAACCTCAGGAGAATCCTACAAGAAAGATGAAGAGGGACTCTTTACAAGAGCGTGGAGGGACAGGACAAGGGGGAATGGCTTCAAACTGACAGAGAGCAGGGTTAGATGGGATGCTGGGAAGAAATTCTTCCCTGTGAGGGCGCTGAGGCCCTGGCACAGGTTGCCCAGAGAAGCTGTGGCTGCCCCAACCCTGCAGTGTCCAAGGCCTGGTTAGGCGGGGCTTGCAGCAACCTGGGATAGTGGAAGGTGATTCTGTCACTGTGCACATCCTCCTGTGGGACCTGTCACCTCAGCCCTGCTGGGACAGGGTCATAAATGGCTCTCTGGGGATGGCATGAGCCCTTCCAGGGTCTGTCTGGGTATTAAAACACCAATGAGAGGGGATGGCCCTTATGAGAGGTGATGGCCGGGGCTCAAGTGAGTGGGCACCCGGCTCTGGGATCACCCACACCTCTCCCCGCTCACCTGTGGGGACTCTTGTCAGTGATAAACCTGTTTAATTGCACATGGGATGAAGACCTGTTTAATGGTTCCTCGTTACCCAATTCTGCTCATTCCAAGGGCATTTTCATTAGAGTGGCTGCAGCCAGGCTCTGCTCATGTACACACCCATAAAATATCATTTTAATTTCATGAGGGGTTACACATGAGTGAAGTAAGATTAATTCTTTCATTTTCACTTTCTGGAAGGGATCGGTTAATGATGGTTCTGTGTATTTATGTACGTGCCATAAAAGGGAGTTCAATTAACTGCTGGGCCCAAAATGTGCTGTTGACTTGCACTTTCCCTGCCAGGAATCGCTGCAAAAACACTTTTCCATTGGTCACGTGCATGGTGGGGATGGAGGCTGAGGGGGGGCTGCTCGGTGCCCACTTCCCGGGATTACACCAGTCCATCGGCTGGGCACTGGCAGATCCCAGGATGGGTCACTCTGCATTGGAGGCGCCCACCCTGCTCCCCTCAGCAGGTGCAAAGCCTGTGTTTTAAATTAATTCTAGTAATAATTGGCTGTAGATGAATGGGCAGAGAGGCCAGGGGGCAGCTGGGAGGAGCTATGGAACTGCTGAGGGTGGTGGGATCCCCTCCTGGTCACAGGGTCCCCTCAGTGACTGTGTGGTGAGATGGCATTGGGTTGGCATCAGGGCTCTGTTGGGTGTCAAAGGGTGGCACTGGGGCAGCACTGGAATGGCATTTGCGTAGGGTTGTGCTGGGGTAGCCTCAAGATGGCATTGGGGTGGTCTCAGGGCTCTGTTGGCTTCAGATAAGTGGCACTGGGATGGCTCTGGCATGGCACTTGTGTTGGGATGGCCTCAGGATGCCTTTGGGGTGGCATCAGGACTATGCTGGGGCAGTGTTGGGTGGCATACAGGTGGCACTGAGGCAGTATTGTGTCAGCATTGTGATGGTGTTGGGGTGGCATGGGGGTGTCGTGAGAGTGCAATTGGGGTGGCACCAGGGCATCCTCATGGCCATGGTGCCCCCCTTCCTGCACCATTGGCCTTTGCTGCACCAACATGGTGGCTGCAGTGGCCAGTGGTGGCCATGGTGGCACGGTGGCTGCGGTGGCACGGTGGGTGCAGTGGCACGGTGGCTGCGGTGGCCGGTGCACCGTGCACGGCACCGCGCTAATACCTCGTGGAGGAGACAAATGGGAAGTGACACGTGTGTGTGTAGACGGGTATTTGTGGTGACGCTTTGACTGCAGATAATAAAGTGCTCGCCCTGAGGTGATCCAATTCAGCAGCCGCCTCGGCAGTGCCGCGCGCCGACGAGGGGGAGAAGAAAGGGGAGGAAGAAAGGCCCGTCTGAAATGACATGTCAGCCTAAAAAGGGAACGTGTTAACGGATGAATATCTGGGGACGGCGAAGCCCGGCGCTTCCCTTTGTGCTTTGTCATGAATTTTGTTGTCTTTGCAGATTCCGGCGCTGCCGCGCGGGGTTTGCCACCTACAGTTATT